AAATAAATAGGAATTGAGGGGGGTATATGTAGATGACCAAAAACAAATTCTCGAGTCAAAAGCCAAACCTACAAAATGCCTCTATTTGTTGATTATGTCCAATAAATTTCTACTAAATTGTAAGCATGCTCCCATGAGTTTGAATGCCTATAAGGCATTTTCTAATGGATTGAGTTCCTAACTTCCAATTTGCTTTAATTTATTAATTATGATGCTATAATTTATATATTTTGACCTATTTATGTTGACTACACAAATTTCAACTTGTGAGACTTACCTCTCATACCACCTTAAGGCTTATGCCTCTCCCACGAACCAAAAAATCCACTTGTGCAATTTCAAAAGTTGTTTCCTTCGATTATAACTTTTGTAGTTTCAACTACTTTTGATATGATTTATACACAAAATATTGAAGCTAATCTAAATCTTATCTTGGATTTGGAATCCTCCCTAAATTTTAGCCCATAGGTGGTGTTTGGTTTTGGCTTGTCGCTTATTGCTCTCTAGCATGTTCTTTGATCTATATCCACCAAATGTATTAGCTCTTGATTATCATCTAGTTGTTTGGGAATAATGGTGACTTAGTGTTACGACCTAGTTCGGGGCTTGGAGTTAACAAAGGCGAGAATGGATGGTTAGATGGTAGAAATCAATTCACCGCTATTCTAATTCAATAAAGAACAATTTAATATTCAAATAATACATGAAAGAGCCACTAAAGAAAGCAATTAAAATCAACAAGTAGAAATTTGCACCTTTTTGTTGTTGCTCTCACCTTCTGTCTATATGTGCTCCTCTCCTTTTCTTCTTATTCAAAAGTTTAAAACTTAAAAATAATATTGAAGAAACACAATGAGTTATTTAAAGACAACTCATGAGACACTTCTAAACTACAATAATCCAAAGAAAAGAATATAATTTGTATGCTAGTCTATAAGAAATCTTATAAAATGATGGTCTTTCTTAATTTTATAAACAATATGATATATACTGATGCATATATCAGTAACTTTTTTCTAAATTAACATATACTAATCTTCTATATGCATTTATCTTAACTTTACTTTTACTTTATATTTTTTACATACATTTCTGTCTCTGTGAGGATCATTATTAACAACATAACACACCCTTTGCCGATATTGCCTCGTCGGCTTCTATCGACACAGCGGTTAGCGATCTACACATCGCAATTGTCTAGAGTGTAAAGATCCTTACCTGTCTGCAACCGATATTATCTCGTTGGCATAGTGGTTAGCAATGTAAATATTACATTTGTTTGGGGAGGTAAACTCTAGTCTACTCACCCCCTGATCAATATTATTTCGTTGACACAACAATTAGTGATCTAACCATCACAATTGTCTAGGGTGGTAGAAAAAACCTATGTGCGCGGGTACATTGACGTCCACTGCTTGTACCATTAAAGGGGTGAAATCCTCCTCTGAGCATGAACATACAAGCATTTATATATAAATTATTTCATTTTTTATACATACATTATGCTGAAATATTTATATGTAATCAGTAACATGCAAACTTCTTTGCTGTGCAATTATTCATAATGTGTATCTTTTATATCATTCATATATTTTTCTTTTGCATATCTTTTATTTATAGCATGCATATTTTTTTTACATGCATATCTTACATGTTTATCTTACATATAATGTTTATTAAAATATCATTCATCTCATGCAAATCTTTCATGCATCCACATTTTTATAACTTTTCAGTCATACATAACTTTTTCTGAAGAATTTACTGTAATATAATTATAATTGAACTAAACATATATTTTAAAATAAAGATGACTACTAAAATTTATAAATGTAATTACTCACCTCAGTTGCCACACTAAAGTCTTAGTCTTTAATAATTAGCTGAAGGTTGCGGTGAAGTTTCTATTGAGCTCAATAACCTATAAAATATGATATTAAACTTTAATATTTAAGTGATTTTTGTAAATGCAATTATTCTTTTTAAATTAGCATAAGATTCTTTTCCTGAATTTTGTGGAATTGTTCCACGACGACCTTTTACACTCTTGCCTCAAATTTGTCATCTTAGGTAAACAACCTGAAATCTGTAAAGATATTAGCATTTTATACATTTTCAGCTCATAAAATAATTACCCAAAAAGTAACATCTTACCTCAAAATAGGCTTCTCGACACAAATCCGCCTTTCAAAAGTTATAAAATTTGCTTCGTCACCTCCAACCACACCTTTCCTACGCTAATATTGTGCTAGAAACTTTATGGAAGCTTGCAAAAGACTTTCGATGGCTACCGGAAAGGAAAAAAATACAAAAAAAAGAGGCAAAAATCAAGTCCGAAGGGTGAAGGAAATGAAAGATTCAAATATAGTGAAAAAGAGATTCACACCTTAAGATTTCAACCTAGCTCCTTAAATCCTGGGTCAGGTGCCTCTCGATTCGACTGATCATGGCTTTTGCACTGTAGCAAGGGTTGCAACTTCCCCCGCCTTCTTCTGCTGCGCGAGAAATGAACAGGGAGCGAGATTGAGTGAGAGAAATCGAGAGAAGGGGAAAGAAATGTGAAGCTTGAGCCCTATTCGACCAAATGAAGGATTAAAAGGCGAAGGAATGTTAGTTGACTATAGTGAAGCTACAAGATTAGTGTAGGATTATGAATTAATTAAGTTTAATCAATTTATTAAATCTTTTAACTTTTAAATTTTATATCTAGCAATCTATTCATAATTAATATATAGTTCTTTATATCGAATTGCTCGATTTAGTGAACAAAATTCTATAAAGTTAACTCGGGTTGAAATTTGAGGGGTGTGAAAATTGAGTTACATATTAAGTTGCCAAAAAATTTATTAAATCTCTCAAAAATTGGTTATTCCACCTAGAGTCTCAGAATGTTGCCTTTGATGTTAGCATTTTGAGCTTAGAAGCACTAGTAGAGTGTAGGTTTCACATTTTCATTCGTGGAGGGATGGAATTAAAAATTATTATCACTGCCCAAGATTAACCAGATTTCAAGTAAAACATTTTGAATGTGGTCCATTGGAGCTTCTTCTCTTTAAGCAAACAACTCTTTGTTGATATGTAGTCGGCCTTGATGGAGTATTTTAATTTTTTTCATCCATGAAATTTCTGTAAGTGCTCGTTGTCCTCTTTTTATTAGCTGACAGTAAAGTCTTTTTATTTGAAGAGAAACTAAGCCTCAATGTATTGGCTCTTGATTATTATCTGCTTTTTGGGAATATCTGTAACCTACAGTCTTAGTATGCTGCCTTTGATGTTAGTATTTCTAGCTTGGGAGCAATAGTAGACAATAGGTTTCACATTCTTCATTCTTGGAGGAATGGAAATATAAAATAATTATCAATAGTGTCCAGGATTAACCTGATTTCAAGTAAAGCATTTTAAATGTGGTCCATTGAAGTTTCTCCTCTCTAGACAAACGACTCTTTGTTGGTATATAGTTGGCCTTGATGGATTATTTTAATTTTTAGCATCCATCAATATTCTGCAAGTGCTTGTTGTCCTCTTTTTATTAACTGATTATAAAGTCTTTATATTTGAAAAGAAACTGAGCCTTGATGTATTAGCTCTTGATTATCATCTAGTTTTTGGTAATATTGGTGGCCTAGAGTCTCAGTAAGCCTTTGATGTTAGCATGTCTAGCTTGGAAGCAATAGTAGACAACAGGCTTCACATTCTTCATTCTTGGAGAGATGGAAATAGAAAAAAAATATCAAGTAAAGCATTTCAAATGTGGTCCATCGGAGTTTCTTCTCTTTAGACAATTGACTCCTTGTTGGTATTGTAGTTGGCCTTGATAGAGTATTTTAATTTATGCATCCATCAATTTTCTGCAAGTGCTTGTGTCCTCTTTTTATTAACTGATTATAAAGTCTTTTTATTCAAAAGAAACCGAGCCTTAATCTTATTGTGGAATCAGTGCCTTCAAAGTCTGAACTTTGTACATCCAGGAATTTAGTTAGCTTTTCATATGGCTGCACGAACATTGATCTTTATGATTCTGCTTTTTAAGCCCCTTATCATCATTCTATTATACTAGGATGCTGATGACTATCGTTTAATGATTATGATGGCAAAACTTCTTAATATTGATGCTTATGCCAACTAGAGATTTCAAATCCTGTTTATCATGTGTCATAAGAATAATAGAAAGCAGGTTTCACTTTATAATTTTCACTTGGCTTCATGCAAGGCGTCGTAAATGAGAGTGTATGTCTTTTCCCTTGATGGATGCTTCATCCTATGTGATTATATTATTTTTTGTGTTTTTATCTTTAGTCCGAGAATTCTTCATAATTGTCTCATGTTGTACTCATTTTGTTTGCTGGTTAATAAATTATGCTTAAAAGAGTTAGCCATATTCTATTGTTTCTTTTCTTAAAGCTCTCATCTCTTCAATTCTGGAAAATCTTGTAAATCAAAGCCATTCAACCCCTCCATAAACTTAAGACGAAAAAAGGTCTTTTTCCAAATCACTATGTTTTATGGTTGGCGATTAAAAAATGCTTGTGAAGGGCAATAATACAATGCTAAGATTGCTAGTTTATTGTAGGTTGCCCTGTTCAGGCATCAAACCTTTTAAATGGCACAATTATTTTCCTTCTCTCCCTACATTTTTGCTCTTTACCTCTTCTTTATTCAGTGAGTCCATATCCTGTTGAATTCGCTCTCCTTTATTCAGTGAGTCCATATCCTGTTGAATTCGCTCTCCTCCCAATTGCAACAAAACCTAATCCAAACAACAAACCATCACCACAATACCCAATGGTGATGGTAGTAATGCTATAGTTATTGAGTCCTTATCTTTTATTTCTTTTCTTGAGGTCCTCTTTTCCTTGATTCCCTCATATTTAAGAAGAAATCAAGTAAATCAAAAGCGAAAATAATTCATTTTCTGCTTCACATTTCTTGATTGGGTCTTAAATAATAGGTAGCTTGTGAATGAACAAGAATACTTTTCTGAATTAGACAGTTTATTGCAGGTTGCTCCGTTTTAGGATCAAACCTTTCAGAAGAATATGATGAATGCATAATTTGCACTCATGCGCCAGATGCTTTGAAACTTCTTGGGGGGCAAATAACATATGAAGAATTAAGAATACTTGGTTCCTTTCAGTATGCATATAGGTATGTTTTGATGTTCTTAGTTCTCTGTTTATTAACTTTCTGTCTTTCACCTTTCTCCTTGAAAATATTTAGTGATAGTGGATGTTTGTTACAATTTATTAAAAAATAATATATGTTTGTCTTTTGTGCAATCTATTATTGGTTTGCTTATTCAAAATTTTCTGGCTAATAATTGATTTTCAATTTACCTAGACAAGCAGTTTGTATAAAATTTCTATGAAGCTACGTGAATTGTATGGTTGCAAGATTTGTAATCCAACTTGAGGTGGGACTATCCTTGTTCCAACCAGAGAAGGGTACTGAAAATGATTACCAGGCTTGAACTGAGTTGAGCTTGCAAGGAAAGGAGATATACGTTGCAGGACGTCAATAATAGCAAAATAAATAGAACGAGAGAGAACATGGAGGTTTGAAACCTACTCTAAATAAGATATAAATGCGATAATCTTTGAAGTGTAAGAAGTGGGTGGGCGTTCAAGCTTTTGGAGGAGGAGGAGGAGGCAGGAAGGGTAGTGGGGGGGGTGGGTTTGGGTGGTTTTACCATTCAGTTTAGTTAGAAAAATTAATTAGCTTTTTCATCTATTTTATGTTTGAGCAACCTATTTTAAGAGTGTTGACAAGTCCAAAAAGCTAATCATTGATATCCAGAACTGCATGAATGTTATTGCCATTTCTGTCTTGGCCAGGATGAAGCTCTTTTGCAGTGAGGCAAGTTTAGTGGAGCAGAAAAGAGTAAGGTTTTTTTCTCCTAAAGCTACCTTTTAGCTATTCTCTGGGAGATTGCATAGGTAAGATTTGGTGTGACGCCTTTCTTATGGACATTGTCCAGGCTCTTAGGTTGACATTGGTTTTATATATTGTTTGTCACCCATTATAGATTTTCAAACATGCATGACTTTTAAGTATTAGGGCTAGCTGATTTTTCTTAATCTCTCTAAGCTCATGGAGGTTGCTTAAAAAATCACGGATTCCTCTGCTTCTGCAGAGAAGAAATCCATTTGTGTTGTTGGTAGTTGTTTGTTAGAGTAGGTTGTGAATAATTATCTTTGTTTTGTTTGTATTGACTGCACAACTCAATCTGTTTTTGAGTCCTCATTTGAAGTGAGCAGCCTTTTGGTTGAATTCTAAGATGCTTATTTTGAAAATTTTCCAGGGAGCTTCCCTCTTTGAGGAACATCCAAATGAAATTAACTTGGTACTTTTGTTTCTCTTTCATGATTGTGCTTCACTATTCTATAGCTATTAATGAGCATTCAAAGCTCAAATAATACTTGGTGATTCATTTTCAAATGGTTTTATTAGATAGAATTTATTCCCATGCACAATCCTTGCCTTTCCACCTCAAAGCAAAATACTCGATGCTTATTTTGAAAAATTTCCAGGGAGCTTCCCTCTTTGAGGAACATCCAAAATGAAATTGACTTGCTGCTTTTGTTTCTCTTTCATGATTTTTATTCACTATTCTATAGCTCTTAATGAGCATTCGAAGTTCAAATAATACTTGGTGATTCATTTTCTAATGGTTTTATTAGATAGAAATTATCCCCATGCAACATCCTTGCCTTTCCACCTCAAAGCAAAATACTTGTTGTATATGTGCGAATAGTAATGACATTAAGATCACCATCAAGTATAAATGATGTAGGACTGTTGACCTCATTTTTGGATGAGGTCTTCACTTCTCTCCTACTTCTCTCCTTAGAACCTAGGGTCTAGCTTTAGGCTTCTCTTGTTTGACCCTCCTAGAGGACTAGTACGGAACCCACACCACTTAGAAAATTCAAGCCACCTCGTCACTTCTTTGAGTTTAGCATGGGCGGTCCCAAATCCTCGACATTCTGTTGAGTTGATTAAGATTGACACATGAAACTCGAATCGAGTTCCTCCATTAATAGGAACAACCCCTAGGGAACCCCCTTTGCGACCCAAACGCTCGATAACGCTGTATTTTTGCGCACGCATCGTACCCCGCACAATTTTGGCTTAAATTGACACGCCCATCGGCAAACTCGTCCGGACGACCCCGGATGACGAAACGAACCGTGCCGACGCATCCGGAATGTAGACTTTAGCTAGGAAGGACACCCATATCTCTATGATTTCGCTTGCAAGCGACTGACACGAATATCGATGCACTCTTTTAGCGGTGCGCGGGCCCGGGCTCAGCCCAGGTTCGACTCGGGTTCGATTCAGGATGGACTCAGGCTGAACACGGGCTAGGCACCAGCTTACCTGAATTTGAAATTCAAATTTTAAAATTCAAATGAATTATTTAAATGCTGCCTTAATTAAAATTAATTCAGGTTTTAATGCTTTCCAATTAATCCTCCCTGCATTTGAAATTCATTAATTTCCCCGCCAACTGCTTCCAGAGTAACGGCTATTGACCCTGCTCTTATTCTAGTGGGGACGCTCGCCTTCTTCTCTCTCTCGGCACGATTCGAGAGGCTCTCGACCGAAAACTCCCATTCGCTCCTCCCCTCTGCACCGAGAGCCTTCCTCGCTCGAGACACGATTCGACTTCCTCTTCCTCCTCACGCTCAATCCCGACTCCCTCCTCCCTCCTCCCTCTTCTACTCGGCTTCCTCGCGTTCAATCCCACACGACAGGAAGAACCGAACGGCCTCCGTTACTCCTTCATTGCTCGACAAATTCAGCGCGCTCCCTTATCTGTACTGCACCGAAAAGCCTCATTCGACTCCCCTCCTTCATTATCCTGCTCATCTGCGACTCGATCGCAGCTCCCGATCGAAGCTCCGCTTCTCCTCTCTGCGACGGAGACTCGTGCTCGAACGAACTCCCCTGCCTCACGTCGAAGCCTTCGCTCAACTCCTGTTTCCCCCTCGTGTGCGAACTGAAGCTCCTTGCTCATCTCTCGCGCTACCGAAGCCCTCTCGACCGCTTCGCTTCTTCCTCGCGCAACAGAAGCATCTCCGCTCCTCTTCATTCGTGCGATCAGGAGTCTCACTCACTTCAACCTCCCTGCATCGAGGCCCTCTGCCTCACTTTTTTTTTATCGCTCGTTCGGCAAAGTAACCCTGTAAACTCTAGCTGATTGTTTGATAGCTGGTTTTTGGCAAAATTTAATTCAAATCTCATGGTGATTCTTTTGCTATTGTTAAATCATTACCTTGAATCATAGATTTCCCAATTCAGAGAAAGGTTTTATGAGATTTGAGTTTTGTTCTTTTTTTTTTTTACTCATCCACCTTTAAAAAAAAAAAATTATTATTCACGCATGTAGTTTCTTCTCCCGATATATTTGCATTCTGTCACAAAGTAAAGGAGAGTCAAGGTGTTGTCTTGATTTACGTAGAAGTGATTCTGGAATAGAGTTGTCTGGTATGGGGAAGGGCAAGAAAGGGCCATCCAAGTTAAATAATTTATGAATGAATGATGTCTTAGAAGTAACTGCAGCTAGGTATAAATCCCCATTGAAAGTGACGCTAGCAAATATATGCACCTGATTGGGAGAGGTCTTATAACTTGCTGAAATTATTTTCAGCTATTCTAAATATATGTTAGCTGTTTTGAGGAGATTTAGAACACCTGTTTTGAGGTGATTTGGAGGATGTTTCGCTGCAGTTTTCTAGGAGTCATTTAATGTACCGTTTTGGGATGGTTTATCATTGTTTTGGAGAATTTTGTGTTCCATTTAAATGCTGTTTGAGGTTGTCAATCGCTGTAGAGTGCTGTAGGAGTACTGCGATATGCTGAAATTAATGATTTGGAGTGCTGCGATATGCTGAAATTAATGATTTGGAGTGTTAGTTGCTGTCCAGTGTCGTACGAAGCGTTGTAGGGTGTTGTTAAATGCTTCTAGTTGCTGCCCAGTGTCGTAGAAAGCTGTAAGATCACTGTCCAACGCTTCTAATTGCTGCCCCGAGCTGTAAGAGCTGTAGGACCGTTGTCCAATGCTTCTATTTGCTGCCCAGTGTCATAGGAAACTGTCTACTTGCTGCCCACCACGATTTGGGTTCATAGGAAGTCACGTAGGAGATGTCTACCATGATTTGGGTTTGTTTGGAAGTCATCTAGTTGCTGTACACCTCTGTTCGGATTCGTAGGAAGCCGCATAGGTGCTGCCCATTGCTGTTTCGGTTCATAGGAACTCATACAGGCGCTATTCGAAATTCCTAGCTGCTGTCCGGAGTCGTAGGATCACCGTACACATTTGCTAGTTGCTTACCGGAGCCGTAGGAGATCGTAGGATCACCATATTAGCTCGCTAGTTGTAGTAAGGAGTTACAGGAGACTTTAGGATCACCTCTCATGGAATTCTTAACTGCTACTACAACTTGTTCTACTGTTTTCATCTTTTTTCTGCAATTTATTTAAATTTTCTGCAAATTTTATTGTGTTTTGCGAGTTAAACATGCAACAGGAATAACATCAGCAGATACGCCACGTACTCATGTACATTTTATTTGTTGTTGTTTCTTTATTGCAATTACTCTTGCTCTAACACATTATGCAGGTACTGAGTACAATCTCATTTTCAAAACAAAACAATTTTTCAAAATTAAACAACTTTTTCAAAATAAAAAAAAAACAAAACATGAAAACATGACACGTTCTTTCGAACCTACGGGAGTCCCTCGGAGGAGGTAATCCACGGTTACTAACGAGATCTTCCCAGTTTAAATGGGTTTCACAACTCGTTTAAACTAAGTAAGTTCAAAAGAAAATAGTGATACCAGAACGAGGGAACCGTGGGATCCTAACCAGTGTCGCTCTAATCAACTTGAACCCCCCATGATTATTCTAAGAGATAATTCTAATAATCTAATATTATAGTCTAGTAAACTGTTTGAACTTTAGACTTTAGAACTTTTACTTTAACGAGGAACTCAGAGCAACTTCGTGGGTAGCACGACAAGGAGTTTGGAGCGAACTACAGGTGGAGGTGGTCGCCATTCTACAACAACAGAAGCTGTCCTACCCCGACTTAATCCCTCTCCCTCTTTTAGGCTCCTGCACAGTCATACTGAGCAATATAA